CCTGCATGCTTTCCACCCACTCCAGCCCCACTTCCCCCTCTCCTGCATGCTTTCCACCCACTCCAGCCCCCCTTCCCCTCTCCTGCATGCTTTCCACCCACCTTAGCCCCCATTCCCCCTCTCCTGCATGCTTTCCACCCACTCCAGCCCCCTCTGACCCCCTCTCCTGCATGCTTTCCACCACTCCAGCCGCACTTCCCCCTCTCCTGCATGCTTTCCACCCACTCCAGCCCCCCTTCCCCCTCTCCTGCATGCTTCCACCCACTTTAGCCCCCCTTCCCCCTCTCCTGCATGCTTTCCCACCCACCCAGCCCCACTTCCCCCTCTCCTGCATGCTTTCCACCCACTCCAGCCCCACTTCCCCCTCTCCTGCATGCTTTCCACCCACTCCAGCCCCACTTCCCCCTCTCCTGCATGCTTTCCACCCACTCCAGCCCCCCTTCCCCCTCTCCTGCATGCTTTCCACCCACTCCAGCCCCACTTCCCCCTCTCCTGCATGCTTTCCACCCACTCCAGCCCCCTTCCCCCTCTCCTGCATGCTTTCCACCCACCTTAGCCCCATTCCCCTCTCCTGCATGCTTTCCACCCACTCCAGCCCCATTCCCCCTCTCCTGCATGCTTTCCACCCACTCCAGCCCTACTTCCCCCTCCTGCATGCTTTCCACCCACTCCAGCCCCCTTCCCCCTCTCCTGCATGCTTTCCACCCACTCCAGTCCAGCCCCCTTCCCCCTCTCCTGCATGCTTTCCACTCACTCCAGCCGCACTTCCCCCTCTCCTGCATGCTTTCCACCCACTCCAGCCCCCCTTCCCCCTCTCCTGCATGCTTTCCACCCACTTTAGCCCCCCTTCCCCCTCTCCTGCATGCTTTCCACCCACTCCAGCCCCATTCCCCCTCTCCTGCATGCTTTCCAACCACTCCAGCCCCACTTCCCCCTCTCCTGCATGCTTTCCACCCACTTTAGCCCCCCTTCCCCCTCTCCTGCATGCTTTCCACCCACTCCAGCCCCACTTCCCCCTCTCCTGCATGCTTTCCACCACTCCAGCCCCACTTTCCCCCTCTCCTGCATGCTTTCCACCCACTCCAGGCTCCAGCCCTCCTCCCTCCTCTCCTGCATGCTTCTCCACCCCACTCCAGCCCCCCTTCCCCCCTCTCCTGCATGCTTTCCACCCACTCCAGCCCCACTTCCCCCTCTCCTGCATGCTTTCACCCACTCAGCCCCCTTCCCCCTCTCCTGCATGCTTTCCACCCACTCCTTAGCCCCCATTCCCCCTCTCCTGCAATGCTTTCACCCACTCCAGCCCCCTTTCCCCCCTCTCCTGCATGCTTTCCACCCACTCCAGCCCCCCTTCCCCCTCTCCAAAATGATTTCCACCCACTCCAGCCCCCCTTCCCCCTCTCCTGCATGCTTTCCACCCACTCCAGCCCCACTTCCCCCTCTCCTGCATGCTTTCCACCCACTCCAGCCCCACTTCCACCCTCTCCTGCATGCTTTCCACCCACTCCAGCCCCCTTCCCCCCCTCTCCTGCATGCTTTCCACCCACCTTAGCCCCCTTCCCCCTCTCCTGCATGCTTTCCACCCACTCCAGCCCCCATTCCCCCTCTCCTGCATGCTCTCCACCCACTCCAGCCCCACTTCCCCCTCTCCTGCATGCTTTCCACCCACTCCAGCCCCCCTTCCCCCTCTCCTGCATGCTTTCCACCACTCCAGCCCCCCTTCCCCCTCTCCTGCATGCTTTCCACTCACTCCAGCCGCCACTTCCCCCTCTCCTGCATGCTTTCCACCCACTCCAGCCCCACTTCCCCCTCTCCTGCATGCTTCCACCCACTCCAGCCCCCCTTCCCCCTCTCCTGCATGCTTTCCACCCACTCCAGCCCCCCTTCCCCCCTCTCCTGCATGCTTTCCACTCACTCCAGCCGCACTTCCCCCTCTCCTGCATGCTTTCCACCCACTCCAGCCCCCCTTCCCCCTCTCCAAAATGCTTTCCACTCACTCCAGCCCCCTTCCCCCTCTCCTGCATGCTTTCCACCCACTCCAGCCCCCCTTCCCCCTCTCCTGCATGCTTTCCACTCACTCCAGCCCTCCTTCCCTCTCTCCTGCATGCTTTCCATCCACTCCAGCCCCCCTTCCCCCTCTCCTGCATGCTTTCCACCACTCCAGCCCCCCTTCCCCCTCTCCAAATGCTTTCCACCCACTCCAGCCCCCCTTCCCCCTCTCCTGCATGCTTTTCCACCCACTCCAGCCCCCCTTCCCCCTCTCCTGCATGCTTTCCACCCACTCCAGCCCCCCTTCCCCCTCTCCAAAATGCTTTCCACCCACTCCAGCCCCCCTTCCCCCTCTCCAAATGCTTTCCACCCACTCCAGCCCCCTTTCCCCCTCTCCTGCATGCTTTCCACCCACTCCAGCCCCCCTTCCCCCTCTCCTGCATGCTTTCCACCCACTCCAGCCCCCCTTCCCCCCTCTCCTGCATGCTTTCCACCACTCCAGCCCCCCTTCCCCCCTCTCCTGCATGCTTTCCACTCACTCCAGCCCTCCTTCCCTCTCTCCTGCATGCTTTCCACCCACTCCAGCCCCCCTTCCCCCTCTCCTGCATGCTTTCCACCCACTCCAGCCCCCCCTTCCCCCTCTCCTGCATGCTTTCCACCCACTCCAGCCCCCCTTCCCCCTCTCCTGCATGCTTTCCACCCACTCCAGCCCCCCTTCCCCCTCCTCCTGCATGCTTTCCACCCACTCCAGCCCCCCTTCCCCCTCTCCTGCATGCTTTCCACCCACTCCAGCCCCCCTTCCCCCTCTCCTGCATGCTTTTCCACCCACTCCAGCCCCCCTTCCCCCTCTCCTGCATGCTTTCCACCCACTCCAGCCCCCCTTCCCCCTCTCCAAAATGCTTTCCACCCACTCCAGCCCCCCTTCCCCCTCTCCAAAATGCTTTCCACCCACTCCAGCCCCCTTTCCCCCTCTCCTGCATGCTTTCCACCCACTCCAGCCCCCCCTTCCCCCCTCATCCTGCATGCTTTCCACCCACTCCAGCCCCCTTCCCCCTCTCCTGCATGCTTTCCACCCACTCCAGCCCCACTTCCCCCTCTCCTGCATGCTTTCCACCCACTCCAGCCCCCCTTCCCCCTCTCCTGCATGCTTTCTCCACCCACCTTAGCCCCCATTCCCCCTCTCCTGCATGCTTTCCACCCACTCCAGCCCCCTTTCCCCCCTCTCCTGCATGCTTTCCACCCACTCCAGCCCCCCTTCCCCCTCTCCAAAATGATTTCCACCCACTCCAGCCCCCCTTCCCCCTCTCCTGCATGCTTTCCACCCACTCCAGCCCCACTTCCCCCTCTCCTGCATGCTTTCCACCCACTCCAGCCCCCCTTCCCCTCTCCTGCATGCTTTCCACTCACTCCAGCCCTCCTTCCCTCTCTCCTGCATGCTTTCCATCCACTCCAGCCCCCCTTCCCCCTCTCCTGCATGCTTTCCACCCACTCCAGCCCCCCTTCCCCCTCTCCAAAAATGCTTTCCACCCACTCCAGCCCCCCTTCCCCCTCTCCTGCATGCTTTTCCACCCACTCCAGCCCCCCTTCCCCCTCTCCTGCATGCTTTCCACCCACTCCAGCCCCCCTTCCCCCTCTCCAAAATGCTTTCCACCCCACTCACAGCCCCCCTTCCCCCTCTCCAAAATGCTTTCCACCCACTCCAGCCCCCTTTCCCCCTCTCCTGCATGCTTTCCACCCACTCCAGCCCCCCTTCCCCCTCTCCTGCATGCTTTTCCACCACTCCAGCCCCCCTTCCCCCTCTCCTGCATGCTTTTCCACCCACTCCAGGCCCCCCTTCCCCCTCTCCTGCATGCTTTCCACTCACTCCAAGCCTCCTTCCCTCTCTCCTGCATGCTTTCCACCCACTCCAGCCCCCCTTCCCCCTCTCCTGCATGCTTTCCACCCACTCCAGCCCCCTTCCCCCCTCTCCTGCATGCTTTCCACCCACTCCAGCCCCCCTTCCCCCCTCTCCTGCATGCTTTCCACCCACTCCAGCCCCCCTTCCCCCTCTCCTGCATGCTTTCCACCCACTCCAGCCCCCCTTCCCCCCCTCTCCCTGCATGCTTTTCCACCCACTCCAGCCCCCTTCCCCCTCTCCTGCATGCTTTCCACCCACTCCAGCCCCCCTTCCCCCTCTCCTGCATGCTTTCCACCACTCCAGCCCCCCTTCCCCCTCTCCAAAATGCTTTTCCACCCACTCCAGCCCCCCTTCCCCCTCTCCAAAATGCTTTCCACCCACTCCAGCCCCCTTTCCCCCTCTCCTGCATGCTTTCCACCCACTCCAGCCCCCCTTCCCCCTCTCCTGCATGCTTTCCACCCACTCCAGCCCCCCTTCCCCCTCTCCTGCATGCTTTCCACCCACTCCAGCCCCACTTCCCCCTCTCCTGCATGCTTTCCACCCACTCCAGCCCCCCTTCCCCCTCTCCTGCATGCTTTCCACCCACCTTAGCCCCCATTCCCCCTCTCCTGCATGCTTTCCACCCACTCCAGCCCCCTTTCCCCCTCTCCTGCATGCTTTCCACCCACAGTCCAGCCCCCCTTCCCCCTCTCCAAAATGATTTCCAACCACTCCAGCCACCCTTCCCCCTCTCCTGCATGCTTTCCACCCACTCCAGCCCCCCTTCCCCCTCTCCTGCATGCTTTCCACCCACTCCAGCCCCCCTTCCCCCTCTCCCTGCATGCTTTCCACCCACTCCAGCCCCCCTTCCCCCTCTCCTGCATGCTTTCCACCCACTCCAGCCCCCCTTCCCCCTCTCCTGCATGCTTTCCACCCACTCCAGCCCCCCTTCCCCCTCTCCTGCATGCTTTTCCACCCACTCCAGCCCCCCTTCCCCCTCTCCTGCATGCTTTCCACCCACTCCAGCCCCCCTTCCCCCTCTCCAAAATGCTTTCCACCCACTCCAGCCCCCCTTCCCCCTCTCCAAAATGCTTTCCACCCACTCCAGCCCCCTTTCCCCCTCTCCTGCATGCTTTCCACCCACTCCAGCCCCCCTTCCCCCTCTCCTGCATGCTTTCCACCCACTCCAGCCCCCCTTCCCCCTCTCCTGCATGCTTTCCACCCACTCCAGCCCCACTTCCCCCTCTCCTGCATGCTTTCCCACCCACTCCAGCCCCCCTTCCCCCTCTCCTGCATGCTTTCCACCCACCTTAGCCCCCATTCCCCCTCTCCTGCATGCTTTCCACCCACTCCAGCCCCCTTTCCCCCTCTCCTGCATGCTTTCCACCCACTCCAGCCCCCCTTCCCCCTCTCCAAAATGATTTCCACCCACTCCAGCCCCCCTTCCCCCTCTCCTGCATGCTTTCCACCCACTCCAGCCCCACTTCCCCCTCTCCTGCATGCTTTCCACCCACTCCAGCCCCCCCTCCCCTCTCCTGCATGCTTTCCACCCACTCCAGCCCCACTTCCACCTCTCCTGCATGCTTTCCACCCACTCCAGCCCCCCTTCCCCCTCTCCTGCATGCTTTCCACCCACCTTAGCCCCCATTCCCCCTCTCCTGCATGCTTTCCACCCACTCCAGCCCCCATTCCCCCTCTCCTGCATGCTCTCCACCCACTCCAGCCCCACTTCCCCCCTCTCCTGCATGCTTTCCACCCACTCCAGCCCCCCTTCCCCCTCTCCTGCATGCTTTCCACCCACTCCAGCCCCCCTTCCCCCTCTCCTGCATGCTTTCCACTCACTCCAGCCGCACTTCCCCCTCTCCTGCATGCTTTCCACCCACTCCAGCCCCCCTTCCCCCCTCTCCTGCATGCTTTCCACTCACTCCAGCCCCCCTTCCCCCTCTCCTGCATGCTTTCCACCCACTCCAGCCCCCCTTCCCCCTCTCCTGCATGCTTTCCACTCACTCCAGCCCTCCTTCCCTCTCTCCTGCATGCTTTCCACCCACTCCAGCCCCCCTTCCCCCTCTCCTGCATGCTTTCCACCCACTCCAGCCCCCCTTCCCCCTCTCCTGCATGCTTTCCACCCACTCCAGCCCCCCTTCCCCCTCTCCTGCATGCTTTCCACCACTCCAGCCCCCTTCCCCCTCTCCTGCATGCTTTCCACCCACTCCAGCCCCCCTTCCCCCTCTCCTGCATGCTTTCCACCCACTCCAGCCCCCCTTCCCCCTCTCCTGCATGCTTTTCCACCCACTCCAGCCCCCCTTCCCCCTCTCCTGCATGCTTTCCACCCACTCCAGCCCCCCTTCCCCCTCTCCAAAATGCTTTCCACCCACTCCAGCCCCCCTTCCCCCTCTCCAAAATGCTTTCCACCCACTCCAGCCCCCTTTCCCCCTCTCCTGCATGCTTTCCACCCACTCCAGCCCCCTTCCCCCTCTCCAAAATGCTTTCCACCCACTCCAGCCCCCCTTCCTCCTCTCCAACCTGCTTTTCCACCCACTCCAGCAGTGCCAATTTCCCCCTTTCGCTATGCTCTCCACCGCCTCTTTCGCTGCTTTCACATTGTCTTGGTTCATGCTCGTGGTTTCAGGTGCACACGGCACTTGCGATTCCGCCTCACGACAAGATGGAATGGACGTCAAGGGGGCAGTTTGTCAAGGCTAGCCCGGGCGAGAAGAATTTCTCATCTGTTGCAATCAACCCTGCAGGGAAGGGGTCCCCCTGGTACGGCCGTTGTCTTGTCCTGTTTCACTACAACAAAGATGGGGAGCTGAGGCGCGGAGCATACGTGGAGTATTACACCGAGGACAAGCGACTATGCCCGTCAACGGGATGCAAGCGCCTTCTACCCACAGAGGGCGAGGATGATTTTGCAGTGATTGATGTCGACTGCATTCTCAGTCTCGTACACATTGTTCCCTCATGTGAGGACGATGAAGTGAGCCTTCTTAATAGATTCGTTTGGTGAGGTCTAGCACACGTAGAGAACTTTGACGCATTGTGACTTTTGTAAACATGAAATTGTTCCCTGACTATGTTCTTTTTAGGCCTTGTAAGAATATAATAGGTGTAAAATTTCCTTCAAATAGTTAAACATGACTCTTGGAAGCACTATTTACATAGAGAAAATTACATCATCATATTCAAAGAAACATAAGTGCAAATGTCATGAATGTAACAAATGGTACACAAAAGCCTAAACGAGGAATTCTTGGAGAGAATCAAATTTCTCGCTATCTGCTCCCTCGCGAAGAGACATGCTCGACTATCTGTTAGGCCCGGAACCCTAATCCTGCGCACAAGCAAGAAATAGTTAGGAGCAAACATTCAGAATGTGACTGGAAAACATTCCGCCGAAGGCAAACGTTTTTTAGAGTTTCCCTGTACGTTTTTCAAACGATTGTCAAACGTACGATAGGCTGCCGAGAATGTCAGATGATTTCCAGACACACGCATTTTTGTGATGTTCTCTGTCAATAAATGGCGAGGGAAGTGTGAATATCGTTCCCACACGCAGTCTTGCATGGGAAATCCGAGCATGTAGTAATCCCTCCAGCAAGCCCCCAGCACATTCAGTACGATCCTTTCCACATGTCTCATATACTCCACTACTGCATCCCTCATTCCACACACACATTTTTGCTACTTCTTCCTCAACAAACTCCAACAGAACCTCCTTTCGTGCATGAACCTGCTGCAGTTACCTGTTGCCATGCCCCTCGGCATGCCAACTAGTTCTCCGACTTGGGATTGTTAGAACTACTAGAACTGTGCCTGTCCTTTTCTCTTTCTCTCCATCTACAGAACCCCGGTATCCGATTATTGAACTTGGAATATGTTCCTTAATCATGTTCGAGCATGAAAAAAAAACTTTAAGATAACTTCATAAATGATTATAAGACATAACAATTCCAAAGGGTTCCAAAACCAGATGATGATTTTGGGTGAGAGGACAGTGGGATAAATTGTTCAAGAAGCGCTCACAAAATCATAGAGTGCAAAAGATATACAATTGTTGTTATTTAACAACAATGGGTTTTTTGACAGATTGCAAAAGATATACAAATACCACAGAGGCGTTAAGGGATTGCATGGACAGCAAGGGTTCACTCGCTGAAATGCAACAAGGGACTACAAATACAGAGCACGCAAAGTGGGGGAGCGAGAAAGAAAATCATAGAGGCACCAAAATCAAGGTCATCAAGAGTTAATGCGCATATGGGGGACGCAAGACCAGCTAGAGTTGGTGCTCTCACATGCTGGTCACCATGCCTTGATCATCGCAGTCCACATAGTAGTAGGCCAAGCTGCAGTCCCCCCCAGCCACCCAGCCAGAGAAATTCCGCCCCCACGCGTGCTGCAAGTCCAGTAGGACTTGCACTGGCAGCAGATGGTGGGGAGAGGGGGATATGGTGGCAAGAGAAGGGTAGAAGGAGGGTTTGGGGCAGGGAACGGAGGAAGAAAATATTGGCTCCCATCACCGGTGTGCCGCACCCTTCTCTTCCTCTCTCACTCATCAGCCTGTGTCGCACGACTGCGGAATGGACACGTGCGTTGGTGAAGTGAAGTACCGAGAAACCGTGATTTCGAGATTGAAGCTGCTACGGTGATCAACGTTATGCACATGGGAGCATGGGCGGCGTGGTCACTGATTCGTCCACTGGCAACGATGGTGCCACTGAAGATTGTAGAAGGCGTAAACAGGAAAGGGAGGTCAAAGAGGGGGTAATCATCGTTGACATTGAGCATCCCTGAGCACCATTAGGTACTCAAGCAAGTGATTCGTGCTGGAAATTATCGTAAATGAGCTGCGGCCCTTGCCATTGCTGCATCAGCCCACGCCAGCAAGATTTTCACTGGCTGCGCAAGCAGGAGAGGGGGGCGAAATGGAGTAGGAGAAAGAGGGAGCGGGAGAAACACCCTGCTAGGGTGGGAGGGAAGAAAAGATATATAAGCTCATCAACACCGTGTGGCCTCAGGAAGGCTTCCTCCCAGCACCGTACTAGTGGCAAACTGAACGGGCAAGTTTCTCTCTACAAGGACGAACCTTGGGAGGCGGCAAACGGATCACAGTGGACCGGAGAAACCACTAAGAGACACGCCAGAAATCTGAGTACGATGAGCCGAATGATTCTTCCCGCGCCGTCCGTTGCCATCGTGGTGCGGCGAGCTTCCAGTAAACTACTACTATTTCTATGGCTTGTGAAGCTGTAAACAGCAGTGATTCTATGCGTTGATAAAAACGCTTGAATATATGTAGACGGTTAAAGCAAAATTGCTGTTTCTGGGAGTGCAGTTGCCAACTATGAGGAGGAGAGGATCCTAAGACTAGGAGGAAGCTAAGTTTCGGAAACTAGTAGAGGGAAAGACTTGAAGGGAGGGAGGTGAGGGTGGGAGTTGGAGAGGAGATGGATGTAGTCCCAGTTTCCTGCCAATATCGCTTCACAATTTCCTGCGCGGCTGCGATTGGCCAACCTGTCGCTGACGAAGTGGAATTCGTGAGTTCGCGACATCAAATTCCACAGATGCGAATGTATCGAAGAGTTACCCTGCTCTCACAAGTTTCGATGGTGGCGTGGCATGCCAGCAGGGGGTTTCGAGCTACCAAAAATCTCTCCAAGTCTGTATGCGGTCAGACAAATCAGGACAGCGGCTGACCTTGTTTGACAAACACCGACGTCTTCATTCGCTCTCGCAACACTGGAACAAAGCGAAACCCTAATGAGCACTCCAATAAATTTATGCTCCCATGCGAGCTAAACATATTTGAGAAGGCTTATCATGGCACTAGCAACCAGTGTCCTGGCGGCTTGGCGGCAAAGCGAAATAGCTGCTCGGCCCGCGGTCTAGCCGCTCAGCCAGCGACCCACCTTATCGCGATCTAGAACTGTCTGTGGTCTAGCGATAGGTAGAGCAATGCATAGTTTCATCATCGTGCGAATTTTGAGTTCACTTGAAAATAAGGCAAGATGGCACTGACGTTCCCACTCGTTATGGGATGTCAGAACGTAAGGGGACGTCACTCTCGCACCTGCTCTTCTCCTCCTTGCCATCGCACCCAGTCCCCCTCTGTGCGACGCCGCCGCCGTCGCAAGAAGCACGAATTCGCATCAGATTCGCTTTTTTTCCCGCCCTCCCTCCCGCAGCTTCCTTCCGATTTCTCGCTCCTCCCAGCGAGGCCTCTAATGGCCATGAATCCGTCCTCGGCCCTTCTTCTTGTAACTGCTCTGTGACGTAATGTCGAAGGATAGTCTCAAAGGAACGTCAAGTTTGCCCAGTCATCTGAAAAACGTATGATGAACTCAATATTAGTCCTAATACTGCTGGCCGACATCCTTAATGCTTCGGATTGGCGGCAGCGAGTCGAGCGAGCGTCACGGGCGTCCATAGCTGCTCAGCGAGTGCCGAGAAAGTCGTAGCGCCGTGTCGCCGCAGCCGCACGTCGCAAGGCAACGTCGCGAGCATCGCAGGCGCCGTCCCTACCTGCTCCTCTCCCGTGCCTGTTCCCCCTGATCCCCACCAACTTTTGCTCCTTATCCTCCTTATATCATTTCATTATGCACCCATTCGAAGACGTTTAAACTCCCTTCTCTCATCCAACCCCCTCCTCCTCTCCCCCTCTCCCCCCTTTCTTCCCCCCCCCGGTCCAACTCCTTAACCGCCTTCCTCATTCATCGCAAAAACAGGGAGGGTGGGGGGGTAGCTCAGGGTTCGGGTGCTTCAAAGCTGCTCCGCAACGTGGGTGCTTTAGTTACCCCATACCCACCTTCCAGCTGCTTTCAGCGTGGGCGCTTCGGAAATCGGCGGGAAGAGAAAATAGAATTTTGGCTTGGAGTCTCATTGGTTGTAGGTTCATAGCTACGTACAAGCTGCTGTTAGCGAAATGCGTCGGCTTCGTTTCCCCTCAGTTATTGCTTCGCCTATGTCGCCCGCAAAGGAATCGGGGATGTTAGAAACCCCGCTAAGGACTTGGTCGTTACAAATTCTACTCAGCAAATTTCCATACTCTGCTCATAAATGTGTTTTGTTAAAAAGACAATTTGCAGTTGGTATTAAGATTGTTAATTCATACTCTTTGTTATTATTGGAGCGCCATACATAAGTTTCGACATCTATTATACCATAAACGGACGTCGAGTCGGTACCACGTACCGTTAGCCCCCGGATAGAAGCGCCCCTGTGCTTATAATAAAACACTATTTTTTAGGGGGTGCGCTTATAATTGAGGAATTTTATAAGCGCCGGCGCCTATAAAATGGCAAAATTGAAATGGTTTTTTTTTTACATGCATTTGAAGCCTTTTCAAACAGGGATTCAATCCACATCTAGAACGTTCGAGTTTGTGCATGAAACGCGCGTCAAATTGCCAACAAGGCGCGGAATCACGCCCGCCACGCCTTGCTCGCCTGGCCACATTCATCGTACCGAATCTGGCCCATGCCAACGCACACGCCGTTTAGTGTGCGACTGCCCAATCAGGGCCGACTGTCGTGCTAGCCACGACGCAGTAAAACCACAAACGGGGCAAGATTCCTTGCCAAAAACGCTTGGACCTCACCACATCAGCTCCTCTACGGGGAGATCTTGACTGTTTCTCCCCTTAGCCTGCAGAGGAACCTGGGCCGCGAAGTTGGAGGGGTCTCGGGCAAGGGTTTCAAACATGCTTCATTCTCCCAGTTTTTTTCAGATTTCTTGTTTCCCATCGGCCTGCCTTAGCTACGGCGGGCCGACCAGGCACCCATTTCCTCTTTAAGCGCCGAGGTGCTGCTGACAAAGCTCCCGATTACTCCCAGTGGCAGAGTCGTCCAGCGCCAATACCTCCTGCTCCTCCTGCGCCTCCTGCTCCTCCTGCGCCTCCTGCACCTCCAGCACCTCCTGTCGAGAGTAAGTGAACAGGAGAATGAAAGGTGGGGCCTAGGCTTAGTAGCCTAGGCCCTAACTAGGTATCGAGCGGGTTTTCCCCTAGGAGCAATGTCGAGTGAGTTGTGAGAGAGAAATTGGAGAATGTGTTTTCACTATAGCATTCGAAGTACATATAGCAAAGGAACACATGAAGAGGTGCACCACCTACAAATTTAATAACCACACTACAGCTAGAACTACATGCAGTTATAATAAATATAATTCTGACATCCCCCCGTAACTGCATGCAGGAATAGCTAAGTGCCAAGCACAACCTGCAGAGGTACACCAACGAGCAATAAAACAAGCAACAGCAGGTACTCCAGGCGGGCTAACTTTGAAAGGTTACCCCCTCCATCTCCTCACCCTCCTCCTTCCCCTCCCCCACACTGCTGCAGAAGCAGCAGAGAAGGGGGGAAGAGAGG